AGCTTACAATCTATACAATCCCAAGACAAAGCAAGCTTGTTTTAGCAGAAATGTATACTTTGATGAATCTAATTCATAGATTGATCAACACGTGACCACTAAACCAATTCCAAAATTGCTACTCAATTGGGATGAACCTGACTCAGAAAAAGATGATGATCAAGAAAGAGTAAGTGTTGAATCTCGACAAGTGAATAATGTTAGGCCAACAAGAAACATAAACTTTTCATCTAGACTTTGTGATTCAAAAGTTTACTTTGATGATACAATCACTAATAAAGGTGACTTAGTTCAACACATAGATTTAATGGCTGATGTTGAACCTATTGATATTGAAGATGCTACCTCCAGCAGAGTATGGATAATAGCAATGAAGGAAGAACTAAGAAGCATTGAGAAGAACCACACTTGGGAAATGTTGGAGCTGCCTCAAAACAAGAATTATTGTTAAATGGATTTTCAAGGTGAAACATATGCCTGGTGGATCAATTTCTAAGTACAAAGCCAAGTTGGTGGCCAAAGGGTTTAAGCAAAGAAAATGGTTAGATTACTCAGAGGTGTTTGCTCTCGTGGAAAGGATTGAGACATTAAGACTTATTATAGCACTTGTTAGCTTGAAGAGTTGGAAGCTCTGACATCTGAATGTAAAATCAATCTTTCTCAATGGACTACATGATGAAGAAGTGTTCATAACACAACCCCCTGGTTTTATATGCAAAGGTCATGAGTAGAAGGCACTAAGGCTAAAAAAGGTATTATATGGTTTGAAACAAGCACCTAGAGTTTGGAATAAAATGATTGATTCTTTCCTAGTAAGAGTTGGCTTTATGAAATGTTCAGTGAATTATTGAGTATATGTCAAGGCCTTAAACATATCTGACATATTAATCTATGCCTATATGTTGATGATCTTATTATTAACGGAAGTTGTGCAAATGTCATTGAATCAATGAAGCATATCATGAAGAAGGAGTTTGAGATGACTGATTTGAGAATTCTATCCTACTTCTTAGGATTGGAGTTTTCATAATACGCGAAAGGAATCTTTATGCACCAGAAGAAATATATCTCAGAAGTGCTAGAGAAGTTCAATATGTTGGGCTGCAATCCTGCAGAAACACCAGTTGAGCCAAATGTGAAGATATTAAAGGATGAGAATGAAGCTTTGGTGGATGCAACACTGTTTAGGTATATTCTTGGTAGTTTGAGGTATATCTATCATAGCTGGCCAGAAATTGCATATAGTGTTGGTTTAGTTAGCAGATTTATGAATGATCCTGGACAAGCACACCTACTAGCAGCCAAGAGGATTTTGAGATTTCTCAAAGGCACAATGGAATTTGGAGTAATTTTTACTCAACAACTCAAGGAAAACACCAATCTGGCTTTCACAGCTTATACAACTTCAGATTGGTGTAGAGATTTGGTTGATAGAAAAGCACAATGGGACAAATATTCATATTATCAAGTTTATAATCACCTGGAGTTCAAAGAAGTAATAAGTGGTGGCTTTATCAACCTGTGAAGCTGAGTATATTGCAGCTTGTTCTGCTACATGTATAGCAAGTTGGTTGTCTTCTCTGCTTTGTGAAATGAAGACACCATATCATCAATTGATCTAGCCAAAAACCCAATATCTAATGGTAGGAGTAAGCACATTGACACCAAGTATCACTTTCTTAGAGATCAAGTAAACAAAGGCAAAATTCAACTTAAACATTGCAACACTGAATTGCAAGTGACTGATACCCTAACTAAACCACTGAAATATGAGAAGTTTAGGAATATGAGAGAATCTATGAATGTAATTTGTTTGTAATGAGTTTTGGATCAAGGAAGGGTGTTAATAAGTGATCCAAAACTTGGAGAGTTAGGAAGTTAGTTTGGAATTTCTATTTTGGGAAATTTAGTTAGTTTTTATTGTTGCAATATATGCTATAAATAGAAAAGTTTTAAACTTGATGAATCAATGAGAATACATTTCAAGTATTATTTATTATACACTCTTTTACACAGTCACCTTTCAATCACATTCATTTTCTTCCTCTGAAAACCTCTCTCTCCCACCCTCCCTCCCTTGTTTCCTTTCAATATCTCCAACAACCTATACATTAGAATATTATCCCTTAAACTTTCAAGAAATTTTGTCTTCTTTGGACACATACTTATGAGAGTAAGTTATAAATGATTAAATATATTTTGTAGAGTTTAACATAACCTAACATTTGGAATAATTATCTACTAGGTGTTAACCCATTGGTTATAAGTGGACCTTGGAAAGGAAATTGATTCTTGGTTGGACTATTGATAATTATAATTATAAAGTTTGTCTAGTCGCCAAAGGTTTTAACCAAATAGAGAAGTAAATCTATCCTATACCTTTTAACTTTTACATAGAATAACATCCATTTGAGTTTTGTTTTCTCTAGATGCCATTGATAATTTAATTGTGCACCAGATGGATGTTAAAACTCTTTTTTTGAACCATAATTTGGAAGAAAAAATATGCATGAATCAACATGGAAGTTTGGTAATTCTTGGCAAGTATATACTTTGTAAATTAGACAAGTTATTGCACGGTTTTAAACAAGTGAATATAATCATATATATTAATATTAATTGGTTAGAAAAAGGAGTATCTCTAATCAATCTCCTTAAATGGATGGGTTAGATTTTTTAAATGTTATTAATTTAACATTATCTCTATATCAATATCACCAATTATATTTTTAGAGGCAAATGTTAGTATGCTATATTTTGTAATAAGTGAAATTTGAATCTTCAATCTTCTTATCACTTTATTCCTTCGGCCTTTTATCTTAACTATTTGACCACCTTATGACTCGCAAGCTTAAAAAGGTTAAACAGGAAGACAAAAAAGTTCAATGTTAGCTACCAGCAAAAGACATAACTGGTTTTAATGCAATTTCTTTATATATTTATATTAGGTCACAATTATTCTTGTTATTTTGTGACACATCTTGCCAAAGTTAAACTCCAACTAAGCAAGGCATGCTGCAAATTGCACTAGATCAATAAATATTGCAGGTATGGTTGTTAAAGAAGCTTTACCTTTAATCTTCAGAATAATACCTACTTACTCGGTTATCTATCACAGTGAGATATGAAAATGACATGTTTTTCCATTTTGGCCACATCTTCAATTAATTGATCATACAAGTCATGGTCTTGAAATCTTAGTGTACTGTGTGGGAAGGTGCTGTCTTCTTTCTATTTTCTTCTTTTAAAAATTTACAATATTAGAAATTTTCCATTTTGAACTCTTTGGCCCAAAGAAAACTGATATAATTTCAATTATGAAGCTTGTACCATGACTTCTTATATAAAACCACTTGAGCTAATTAAAGTTGCAGTGGCATACAAGTATTATGTAACAGGTTCCTTTACAATTTCCCTCTTTTGTATGGAGGTTCTAAATAGCTAACCTTCATAATGAATCACAATGATGCAATCGTTTCTAGCCGCAATTTACAGTTTGACAATCACACCGCAATTTGCAATGTGACAATGAATCATAAAGATGCACTCGTATCGAGCCATAATGTAACCATATCGAGCTGTATTTGGGCTGCATCAAGCTGTATCAAATTGCATCAGACCACATCAAATTGAAAAATATTTTTTAGTAACAAAAAATTTGCACTACACCGACCACAATAATAACTGCAATCATGGTAATCATAGACCTCAATCCCAATTTAAAGTAGTGGTCTGCATCTTTCAATTCTTCAAATTCACCTTCTGCCTTCTCAGTGAAGCATTGAAGTTTAACATGAATAATGAAACACATACTTGCTGAAGAAATCATAAAGGGGGTCTAAATTTTAGTACCCTACAATGATGAAATCTGATATTTGAATACTCAAAATATAATATTTACAATATATATATATAATATCTGATGGACATTTGTATATTCAACTACATAGTTGTATTTTATTGGCATGAAACACTTGTATTTTTTACTCAAACCTGAGACCAATGATAAAAGTGTAAAACTACAACAATTATATGCTAGTTGATTGTTACGACTTAAGCATATTAGCGGCGAATTTAAAACATTAGTCTATTAGGTGGGAGAGGTTCATAGCTTAAGTATCCTATTGAGCCCAACATGGAACTCATAATATTGTTGCCTCCTTTAAGGGCTGACGTCCATGACAACTTTTACTCTATCGAAATTGACCCGATGGGCGGCTTCATTCACCTGTCAGTATTTGGTAATATATCTTAGTTCAACTTATATGTAGCATTTTTCTTGACACAACTCTCAATGAAAACAATTGTTAGGAATTAAGTAGACTAATAGAGTCAAACCCGAAAAATTAATCAATTAAATAGGAAAGTTTCTTAACTTAAGGAATTAGTGTTGTATTTGAAGTATACAAATAACTTATTACAAATTAGATTGCCTCTCAAATTTTTGTAGTGACTGACTGGTAGGTTATAGTTCTGTAATTTAATCTGTATGCTAACTAATGAGCAAGTGGTTCTATTCTATGTGATTCTGACAAACGTTTTGGGGTGAAAATGAAAGGGCCCACATCCAACTATGCCTTTTCATTTCTTACACCCATCCAATATATATGGATACTCCCGAGTACTAGAGAGTCCAGTAGTAACAAAAATAGTAATATGTGACATTTAAAAAATTATAACAGTGTAAATTTTAAATTGTTATTAAATAATTTTTTTTTAAATTATCAAATCATTCTACGTCTCACATTCTTGTACTGAATTATCCAGTATGGGAGTTCACAAACCCCATCCCATACCCACCTTTAAAAACACCTCCAATATCCTCTTTTGTTATAGCTACTCATGCTTAAAGCTCATAAAATGAAGATGAGTGTTCTCAAATTCACCACTTTGTGAACTCATTTATTTTCCCCCTTCTCCACACTCAAGGTCCTCTTCTTATAAGAGTGAGAAAAACTCTTACACAACACTATATGTAATTGCATATGAGAAGGTGCATGTAGGGCAAGATGGAGAAGCAGGGCACGTGCAATACTAACTTCGAGAGAATCACATTCTTTTTCACTAGTGAGTTAGTGCTTCATGTGTCCCTCTTCCCCATCATGACCGCATCACCTTATAGTATTTTTGGATATGCTTGGTGAAAAGATTGGACTTTGATATATGAATTGTGATGGTCCAAAAACTCCACATTGAAGGTGAGTATATATACCATTGTCATTATTTTCATATGTGTTTATTAATATTCAACATTAGCATGATTTTTGTAGTATGAGATTGAGAAAGAATAGTTGAATTTTAGTTAAAATCAAGTAGAGGGAGTTGTGCTAATGTTGTTTAGTGTGTGGTTTCTATTATCAATTGGTGTAACGGTTTTAGTTTTTAGAATCCCACATTTTAGGATATGTTGTTAAGGTGGTTGTTGTTATGTTTGTTCCTTTTGAAAAAGGCTATATGATAGTCATTAGCTCTCATAATAAAATGTATTTTTTAATCTATGGTATTGATAGAACTATTACTTTAAGGTTTTGGTTCATGATCCAATGTATCACTTGTGACTCTTCACTTTTCCATTCATCGGTAGTAATGGAAATCTCTGATAGTTGGACGCTCCATGGTCACGGTCAGATCTAACAAGTAGTAGCAGAGCTAATGGTTTGGCTGAGATATAATGAACTTATGGGGGACAAATCTATAAGTATGTAGTACCCGAACTTTGAGGAAGATTGTTGAGTTTATTCAAATGTGAGGTCCATATATAATAAGAGAATGAATGAAATAGTTTATAAGTAGAAAAGACTGAACGATTGTCTTAAGCTTTGGTTCAAAACGTGATATCCCACTTATAACTCTCCAATTTTCTCATACTCTGATAAATATAATAATGGAACTCTCCGATGATTAGAGAGTATAAAGTCGTGGTCGGGTCCATGAATGAGTCTAATAAACATATGTTGCACAAAAGTCAGCATGCAAGAGGTATGATGGATATCATGCTGTAATCTGTGTGGGGGATAGAAACAAGTGGTTTTGGTTTAAGTTTATTTTCATACAGAACAGTAACTTTGCACACCATGCATCTTAGAAGCAAAATTTATATACATGCCCTTCTCAAATAAGCACTTATGAATTATATGAGCAGTGTGAATAGCTGCTTTGTTATCCTCAAAATGCAAAGCACAATTGATTGGGGCACTTGTAAGTTTGTAAATTGTTACAAACAAATTTTTAATTTTTATATTTCAAGCAACTATCATAAAATCCTAAGAGATCACTAAAGTTATTTCAATTTGAAAAGGAGATATATTTATGTTATTTAAATTAAAAAATGGTGAGGATCCACTTAAGTTTTTTTAAACTTACTCTAGATCTTAGTTATTAATTTTAGGGAAATCCAATGATTTAGATCTACCCACTAATTTAAACCATTGAATTTCCCTAGAATTGATGGATGTGGAGTAAGTTTAAAAAAAATATTTTTGGAGTCAATGAATCCCTTTTTTAAAAAAATTAAATATTCATTCTCCTATTTTTATTTTATTACCAGTAGTGTGGAACAAGATATGCTACCACATTATCATTAGAAACAAGATAGTCTTGTTTCTTAAAATGATAGGGAAAGAACATGCTACCACATATTTTGATGTCTCATTTCAATGTCTCACATACTTAAATTATTACATATTTCAATGAAATTAACTTTTATTTTATTTTTTAACGGATGAAAGCGGGTAGGATATTAAAAAATCATATATAGTAGATATAAAACATTACTCATATATTAGAAGCTTTTTAACCAGCTTATATTATTGTAAATATCAAGTTTTTTACCTTATCATTTATATTATTTTCATTAGAGAAACAATAACTATTATGATGATGAATAATATGTTGATACCGTAAAGAAAACAATATTATTAATATATAAATTATTTTACTTCTCAAAATGAGAAAATATTAATTTTCAACATAAATTTATTTTTCTCACATATAAATTATGTTGTTGCCAAGAATTAATGTTCGAGTAATGCATGCGGCATTATGATTGAATAAAATATAATGATTTAATTTTCTGTCTCTTTGCTACTTGGAAATTGGAATGGTATTGGTATACATTTATTAAAGCTTAAAAGTAGAAGTTTTCCCTATCAATCTCACAGAATTCGACAGAGAATTTGATTTCAATTTTAATACACCCAAAAATAAATTAGTTAACTAAATTTAATGAATTTTTTGTAGTTCAAATTTTATGGAATTGTTTATGTAGCAACTATATAAAAAAAAAATAAAGTCCTAAAATTGTCATCTCCTTAAATCAAATAGTTTGGTTCCAATAATTTAATTATTTGTATTTTGCTTAGGATTCGCTTGTCCTAAGACAAAATTTTTTTAATTACACTGACACTATCTGAGTGAAAAGTTTTAAGTAAAATTACACAAATTACCCCTCTATTTTTTGTCCTTACACGAACCATCTCTCCCTCTTACACAAATCACTCATTGTTTTATACATATATTACACTGACTACTCCTGATGAGATATAACTGTAATATTTTAAATAAAAAATGTGTGGTGAGTGTAATTAAGTTAAAATATATATTATATATTGGATAGACAATTCCGAATAGTACAAAACTGAATGTCTTTTTATTATTTATGTTCATTACACAATATATTAACAATTCTAATGAGATGTTTATATAATTCTTATACTATTTTCTAATGAACTATGCATTGACTCTTCTATTGAGATGTTTATAGAATCTTTATTCTTTTTTTTAATGAATCAAATAACGAAGATGCATTGACTCTTATATTATTTGGATTTGTCTACACAATATACAATATTTTGTTTAACTTAATTACACACTTCACATTATTTTTGTTTAAAATATTACGCTTATATTTCATCAGGGGTAGTCAGTGTTATAGATATACAAAATTAGAGATAGTTCGTGTAAGAATAAAAAATGATGAATGATTTATATAATTTCACTAAAACTCATGAGGTGTCAATGTAATTAACTCTAAAAAACCTCACCACCCTGAATTGAGATTAATGGGAGACATGCGATAAACTTATTATGATTACATTGAAAATACATGCCTTTTAATTCACTTTTGAAAATTGGTAGTGCTTATAGTTATTTTTTATTTGTCAAATGCGTTTGAAGTATGAAATACAAAAACTAAGCCATATTCTCATTTAGGTACGAGTGATAACATGAATCGAACGATGTTATTATACTCAATCATACAGTTATATCTATTGAGAAAACATTAATCTTTAAATATTTTTTTAATTATTTTATATATTGCTATGATTTTGTTTGGTTTCACTTTACCTCTAAAAATTACAGTAAAAAATACTTGTGAATTTACCAGTTCCACTAACATTTTCTATCATACATTATATATATTATAATGTTGTTAGGATTGTAATTGTGTTGCACTCATGAAAGTTGCTAATAAATGTGGCAACAATTACAATTTCATTATGGCAACAATTAAAACATTACATACATCACCATCCTCTTTTTTTCTTTTCTTCTCTTTAGAGAGGCAAAAATAGCTTGGGAAAATGAACATAAGTCATGGTTCCTTGACAAACAGTGGTACTGGGGAGCAGCCGAACACAAATAACAAATGGGATAAAAGGAAACTAGCACTTAATTGAAAACATGCCATGTGAGGCCATACTTTGTCTTAAACATCCTGAACCTATATAGCATATAACAGTTTGGGTCTGGCCTTTTTACCTGTTTAGTTTTTTCTCTTCAAAATATAGGTTTGACCTCTTTAAAAGTTTGGTCTGACTTGTTGCAATATTTAAAAGTTTGTTATACTATAAGCTCTTGAAATATACCAATTTATCTACATTTAATAGGATACCAATTTACCAATTTTTATATTTTTTGTATTATATATATATTACTTATATTAAACTAAACACATTTTTTTTAAATGAGTCTAAACCTAACTTATTTACTAAAAAAAGTATAGTCTGATCTAACATGTTACAAGTCAGATAATAAGTCATTAATAGATGGTCTGACCTATTTACACCACCTGCCAAAAGACAACACATATGCATAGAAGTAGTATCCCCGTATTACTCTTAGGCCTTATCCTTCCGTACAACTACTCAAAGCATCACTCCTTAATTAACCAAACAAGCTTTTTGAATCAACTTTGAATCAACTATGATATTTGATACCTAATAGTTTCAATGGGACAATCAATTTTATTAGCACTTATAGCATTTAAAAAGACATGGGGTCATGGAAAAGTTATTTAGTTCACTTACATGTCTTTATCTCTGAAACCAATCATATTGTATCAAGTAATATAAAAATGTTATTTTCTCCGTTCATACTTTCTGATTAGGTGCATTTTCTCATTGATATTTTGGAACACAAAATATAGGACTCATTCTATTTCCATGTCTATGAAAACCCAATAAATCTTTATATGCCTTTATTTTCTATTCGAATCTGACATGATATTATGTCTGCTTAATTAGTGACTGGCTCACATGCTTATGTGGGTAACTGGTGAATATTCATCAAACCTCTTTTTACTTTTCACAATGCTGAAGAAGTTGGATTCTTAAATTACCATCATCTGCCTTACCAAAAACATTAATTGCATTCTAAGAGCCCTAATGGTCAAAATAATTAAGATGCATGGGCCTCAAAAAATGAAATGAAGATATCCTATTCCCATTGGTGTCTGTATTTGTTTCTCATACCAATCAAAATTTATTTTTTAATTGGGAAAAAAGTTTTAAAAAAATAAACTAATATTTTATATTATTTGGAGTAATTTATTGGGTAAGGACATAGGAACAAGGATCATTTGTTCCAAAAAAATCTTCGTCTTCATATCCCAAACCAATCATGTATTACCCAGTAATGTAAAAAAAATTAGAGTTAATTACATTTGCATCCCTTAATTTTAATGAAATTACACAAACCATGCCTCCATTTTTTACCCATACAAAAAACCTTCTGGTTTTTGTACATATATTACACAGACTACCCATACATGTGAAATAAGTGTGATTTTTTTACATAAAAAAGGATGATAATTGTAACGAAGTTAAATAA